GCTCAGACCTCAGGCGTCTCTCGCCCGGGGACTAGGCTGAGGGTGGGAGATGACTGATATTTCAGGCTAGATGCAGTACAGAGCATCAGCAGTTGAGGAAATGAAAATTGAGTCTGCAATGATTTCATTTGTCGAGAGTACCACATCATCCAAAATGGCAAACCAAAATGATGATTTTACTGCAAAAGAAAGCTGCAAATCTTTCTCTTTTATCTAAAAGTTCCAGATGGATGGCAAGTGGTCAAAATGTAGGGAACTCCAAGAAAATTTAATAAGAATGTTTTTTTTTTTTTTCTGGTAATGTCAATCTAAACCCATCAATCTAAACCCATCATTACTGCATATTGGTTTTAGTCATTTAGTCATCTTGGACGACCGGATGACTGGACGATTGCGAATATGGATCCCTGCTACTCACGATATTTGAAAAATCTTTTTCCTAAAGAGTCTTGCAATTTTGAGACAATTTTCAAATATCACAAGTAGTGTAAATCCTTAATATATATCGATTTAGCCAAGCCTAAAAGTGGAGCTCCTGGGCCGGGTTGCTAACACAGGATAAGTGAAAATTTTGATTTGAGTTTTATAAATTTGTTGAGTTTTTGTGAGGTTTTTTGTTCACATTGTTTGGCCCTCTGTTTGAGTTTGAATAATCTCAAACTACACCCACAGCCCATGACCCAAAAGCAGTGAAAAACATTTGTATGCAAGAACAACTGAAGGGTTTTGTGCAAAAAGGATGTATATCGCTTTTTGGACCAATTTTCATTTTTTCAGGATCGAGCTAATTTTTGGCAAACTGACTTGTTTTGACATGAAAAGCATCGTTCCATAATTGTTTTTGTTGATTGGCATAAATAACGTGTGCAAAAAAACTCAGTTTTCCAAGGGCACCAATCAGCTCTGAATGGTTTGGGACCATCAACTTCAAAGCCACACATTTGTCAGTGAAAAAATTACTTCTAGTTTGATGTTAGTCTATGGGCTCTATATTGAGCAATTTTTTTAATAGGCCCTTTTTGTAACGTTGGTCAACAGGACTGTCAAAATGAAGAAGAAGGCCGGTATTAGCTAGCTTTTTGTAGACAGGCTGCAGCAGTAGAACCAGGAAGTACATGTAAAAGTCGCTGTTTAACCTTTTGATGTTTGCTTTTTTTTAAGATATGACAAGGCATTCCAAGCAAAAGAAGACACTGAAGAAAGTCTCAAGAGAAGGCCCATGTCAGCTGGAGAACCTGAAATGCCCTCACAGGTATATTAGATATTTTAGAATCACCCAATTTTATTTAAGATCCCTTATATTGGCTGGTTCTCAAGTGTAGCACACCACAGGATGAGCAAACTTGTCAATCAATTTTTCAAACCTATTGACCTCAAACTTGTTTTCTCTACCTTAAGAATTAAGAATTTGTTAAACCCATTGACTCCTGGATCTTTTTGCCAAAAATGCATTTTATGGACATTTTTGGAGATTTTCAGCCTGGATAAGGGCCAAATTAGCTCCAATCTACTCAAGAAGGCATTTGCGACATGACAGCATGTCTTTCTTTCCACTAGCATCGTGTCTTACAACATTTTTGTTCAGGCACGTGCAGAAATCAACATTTCAAGTTTTTGGACGAGAAAGTGACCTACATCTTTAGGCATTTTGTTTTTTATTTTTTTTCGCCTTTCCTTTTTCTCCTTTTCTTGTCTTTTTGCTGCAATGATTGACCTTCTGCTGGGCTTGCTTCCAGTTGAAACATTTCTGAGAAAACATCATCGAGATGGGCAATTTTTACCATGGAGTAGCTAAGTGTAGTGGTGGGAAATTTTGCTGCAAGTCTTTCACTCAAATTTCTGAGCATTTTCATGCATATTTCAGGCTCCATTGAGCTGGTCACTCTGATCTGGGTATCAATGGAAAGATCTTTTCCTCCTGCAAAACTTGAGAATAGATGATGCCTATTTTGGTAAATGTGATGACGTCAGAAGTGGAACAAAGCCTTAGTTACTCTTCTGACATCATCACTTTGGCCAACAATTGTCATGGCTGGTTACAAGTTTCAAGTAAAGCTGAAGGAATCTATGTACATAAAAATTATGGGAAAAGCCTGACCTTAATCAACTAGTCAAACACATTAATTTGATACTTTCCACATATTAAGCAACTTAATTGGTGACTCTACTGAGTCACACAAACAAAAATGAAAATGACTTCAACAGTAGTAATAATTGACTCTGAGAATTTGCAATTCTCATCCTTCTTTGGGTTACTGACAAGAGAGCCTAAGGCATATCATGCATGTAGTGCTGTGTGATGGGAAATCTTTACTTCCTGAAGATCATTGCAGAACAAAATACACAAGTCTCCACAAGGCAAAAACTATGATTGTTGGTTTCAGTTCTGGTACAATTCTCTGAAGAAAATTGTCAAGAAGCTGGCACTGTCTCAGTTTTATGGCAATAAAGGTGCCACATTTTGTGATGAAGCAGCAAGGAGAAGTTGTTCTTTTTGAATCAAAAAGTCGAACAAGTGGTCGATAAAGAGGAAGAGGGTATCCATCTAAGGCTAAAAGAGTCTGTCAATGTTGACTAGAGGCACTTAAAAGAAATCTTGTAAAATACAAACTTGTGGATCTCATTGCTGCTATATGGTGTGGCCAGAAAGAAACAAACTTGTCCCATGCTCCTATCATTTTGTGCATCAAAACCCTGTTTCTGGGACTGGAATGGTAGAACAAAGCATTGCACTAGAATGTCTTGAGAAGTTCGCTCAGTAATGAGACATACAAGAGGTTCCTACTGTTGAGGCATTTGACTGGACTCTTCTGTTTCACAGCTTTTGGTCGCACTTACTACATGTATATTCCATGTTGAGTTGACAAATCATCGCTCATCAAAGACAGTCCATTTTGCCTCCGAAGCAGTCTTAAAAGCTCTCAAGTTTATGAAGTCTAAAACAAATTAGAAGCCTGCAAAGGCATTGACGTTGATGTTAGTGCCACAAAGAGTCACAAAGAGTCCCCAGCAAGTGAAGCCAAACACTGTAAATATGACCCCTCTCTTTGATCTTTGTAAGTGTAATCAGATGCAGTGAAATGCACCCGCTACATTTCAGTGGTTGATTGAGACATGCCCTTCTGAAATCTGTGTGGTGTATCTGGACAAGGCATATTAAGCCATTTGTTAGTACAATTACACAACTCATCCTTTTTATGACAAGGAAGTAACTAATACACAAGTGGAAAAAGTCAGTATGTCCTCAATTAGGCAGTGAGGAGCTCTGTTGGAGGAACTCCACCATTTATCTTGCAGTCGTAGAATTCCTTGGCCAAAACTATCCAGTTGACAAACAACCACCATTTGGGTTAATAGTTCAAGACAGCAGACATACATATAGTACAGAGAGCAGGTAGCTGAAAACAGTGAGACTTTCAACTGTCAAGTACCGAGTGGGATCATGTGCTGCATGGTTTCCACAACAAGGTCTGACACCTTGGCTTAGACAGGACCCTGGACTTGACCCAGTTGCAGTTTTGCTGATCAGGCTTGCCAAAACAAGTTGGGCTCCTATTAAAACTTGTGAAGGTTGCATTAAGAGGATGCCTTCAGATCTGTTGAAAGTGTCAAGGATTCTGGTTCTATGTCCTTGTGGACAGTCACAGTCCAAGAAGGAAGAGCATGCTCAGACCAGTGGGAAGATGGTTAATACCAAGACATGCCACTTGGTATGGCATGGCACAGTGCTGGGACCCTGGATTCTTCAAAGCATCATCATGCTTAGTATAAAGGTTTAAGATAAAGTGATCTAGTCCTATTGACACTCATAACCACTATCAATAGTTATTGATACCTTTATATTATCACATTTTCAAATTTATCCTAATTACAGTGTACATAATAAGTTTTAATGTTGTTTTTGCTGCAGATGATGAGCACTGAGAGAAGAATCAGAGTAAGTACAATGGCTTCTAGCCTTTGTTGATCAGCCTAACTTGTGAACTCTTTTCTGGGTTGAAATAGTGTTGTTGATGTGTGAGTTGATGGGTAGTCACCATCAAAAGTCCTTTTTGACTAAGTTGTAGGTATGGATGTGAGTTTCACTGGGAATTCTGCTGGGAGTTCTGCAGCTACTGATAATCGCCTTGAAAAGGGAAGAGAAAAAAAGAAAAGAAACAAGAAGTTATTACAACACAGGGTATTAATATTTGGTCACCCAGCCACAGAGGAACCCTGCTGAACAGGGCTTAGCTTTGTTGATCGGATGAGATGCAGTGCTGTCCTTGTGGCATAATGACTGCCATAATGACTCCACATTGAAAACATTTTTTTTGATTCTAAGATCTCTTAAAAGGTAGCAAAGAAAATGGGAAAGAAAAATTAGTGACAATTATTACTTACTTTGGTGATCAGATAAGAAGCAGTACTTTCTTTTTCATTGTATCAGACAAGGATCACCGATAACGTCATGAATGTTTTCAGTGTTGTCACATGTGGTGTATTCTCTTACGGTTGCATTTTGCACTATTTCTTAACAATGCCAGTGGCCTTTAACTTTAACTTAACCTACGGATTAAAACCTCAGTTCAGTGGCATCAAAATTGCCACTGTTTACCGATGATCCATTTTCCAAGTTGAGTGGCTCATAGCCACTTTGATCTTATTTAGCAGTGCTCTCATCCAGATGAATGAGTGTCCCTTGTTCACTTCAAACAAGCTTCTGAATATTTGAAATTATCTAGATGAATAAATTACAAAAATCAAACAGTTGGTTTTTATGTATACTAAATCATCGCTACAAACTATCCAAAATGTAAAGTGGATCTTGATGGCAGCAGTGAAAGTTAGGTTATCATTTTGAATTACTTCAAAGCAATCAGTTTGTAATAAGTTTTGCAACTCACCCTGGATTTAGATGTTGAACAAATTTAGGTACAGATTGAATGGAGTTAAATCCTGATTTCTGTAGCACTGCTACTCCCCCTGGATGGAATGCTAGTCCATCACAGGGCTGCCTGCCAGTTAGGTGACTAGCACCCTTGGATGTATATTTTATCAACATACAGCAATGCATTATTGGCAATGCATGTATCTGAGTACAAGACTATTTTAATATTATCTGAAGCTACTATTATTGAACTATTGTGTTTTAAATTTTGTGCTGCAGTTAAATTACCAGTTCATGAAGAAATGTGTTCAGGACGGACCTGTAACACCAATGGCTGATGATTGGTGGGATACCATATTGACCATGATCCCAGCAAAGTTGGTTTTATCTGCAGCATTGCAGCCACACATCAAGGAATTGTATGATGAAGTCAAAGGGGAATATGAGGCCAGCATCAGAAAGGCCATGGGTGAGAGAAAGAATAAGAATAAGAATAAGAATAAGTAATTAAATGTATGTTAATGTGTACATGTAAGTAGTATTAATTTTTGAGTTTGTAAATATTGATTGTTGTGGTCTCTGAGAGAGATTTCTCTGCAGTATATGGTACATGATAGGATGTCAGTAACAAATTTATATTCACTGAAACCTGTGGTGAACAAGCTGGGTCATAATTTATGTTGGGAAATTTTAAAAATGCCAGCTAACATCTGGCCACCACTTAAGTAAACTAGCTTGTTAGTTTGCATAGTAGATGATGTGCATGTGAAAACATTGGTTTGGTTTGGCATATTTCCTCATGGTTCAAACTGATTTCAGGATAAGTTGCCTCGGGTTATTTAATTTATCACTCATTCCAATCTTTTGCTCAGTGTTATCAACTTTGTTCATTTATCTCCCTTTTGTACCAGTAACCAAAGTATGTAAAGCATGGGATATAATTTTTATTAATATTTCAATTTGTGCTGATAGCTTATCAGTGTGAACTGTTATGTGCTACCCTCTCTAAATCTTAATCTCTTGTAGTTCAACACATTCTGGTTAAGCCCAAGGTTAAAGGAGTTGAAGAGGATGAAGATTTACCAGATGAGATAATGTATGTACATCTTACGAGCATAAAGATTTACAACTCGAATTGAATCAATTAATTAAGTAATGCAATAGTCTTTCTTTCCTAATCGTGGATCAATTTTGTTCAAAAACAGAAAATTTAAGGATACATCAATTTTTAAACTACAATTGCCTGGCAGAAAGGAGATGTAAGAATCTGTGAGTTTTAATGATGTTTTCCCTCAGATAAAGAAATGAAAAGAAAAAGAAGACTTATATATTATTACAACATGGATATGCTGTCAAAGGTGATTGTGTAACACAGCTTGGGGTTAAGTTAAATGTAAACAATATAATGAGGTAAAAAGTTGATAATGAATTGCAAATATTAAAATTTCATAGTTTTGGTCTCAGTCTACATAATTTGTGTATCCACAATCTATGGTCCACTGCCACATTTTGAACAAAGTCTACAGTCTGTAGTCTGTATTTATAGTGACTAAGTTTGTTACAAATACACTTTGGGTCATCACTTTTAAACATGTTTAACTGAATTATGATATACAGTGTAGTTCTGAGTGGTGTTGAATTTATTATTGTTCTTGTGATGTGTTTTCCTTTTCCTTGTCATCTAGCGGTGTTGATTATTCTAGTCCTTGGAGAGAGAGTTTCAATGCATCCCGGGAAACCGTTAGGCAAAATCTTCATATCCTGCATCCCTCTATGCAAACAATTTTAGGAATTTGCCAAAGCAAAAATTATTCAACCATGCTGATAACTGATCAATCAAATCTGAGGTAATGGTCTTAAAGTATCATTGTAGATTAGTTATGTGACCTACATGTACATTCCATACATAGGTCAGACTACAAATTAAGTATGCATGGAATAATAAACTTGAAAAAATAACTCGATTCTGATTGGCTAAGAGCAGTACAGTTTAAGTGTAACACAGAGCACAAAGTGTATCATAAATGCAAAGTTGTAATATGATTGGAAATTACATGGAAGATTTCTGAATTATCTAAGGTATTTTGATGGCAATGAAATTAGCTCAAGGTCTTCTGAAGATAGCTAAGGATAATTAGATGTTTCCTGAACACCAGCAGAGATAACTGAGATCATGCAAAGATGTATGAATATCACCCAAACATTTTTTAACACTCTGAAGATCACCCGATTCCTTTTGAAGATTTGCAAAGATTTCTGAATAGTTCTGAAAATTTTCAGAGACTTGCTAGAGATCACCCAAAGACTGTTGAAGTTTTTACAAGATATCGGAAGTTTTGCTAATATTTTTGGAAATTCCAAAAATTGACACTACATGCTGCCTGTATCGATCATAAGTGATTAAATTATGTATAGGCAAAGAGTGCAAACAGTCTATTTTTAAGTGTATTATGACAATGATCCTTGTGCAATATGGAATAAATAAGCACTTGTAAATTTTTCAAAGACTGCCCATATTGTTAGCCTAGCTTTGAAAATCAAATAATACTCATGCTTATTTGTTTCAAATTGCACAGGAAATCATGTGATTACATGATTATGATATATTAATTTAATGAAAAATGAAACTCTGTTTCATTTGTTTTTCCTGTTAGTTTTCACACTGCAACTGCTTTGGGCAAACACCACCTGACAAATTTTGCAAATTTGGCCAAAAGGCTGCGTTTGCATGTTTAAAATTGAAAGCAATAAAAATGGTCAAAAGCTCACTGTTTCTGTAGTGTGCAACTTGCTAAGATTGCTTATTTGTGGGGAATCTATAATTTGTACAATGTAAATACTCAAGGCTTTCATGTGTTTGCCATTGCACATAATTTTATTGACTGGCCTGCTGAGTGGCCTCAGTTGGAGAAGTTGCAGTGTAAGATCTTGCTATTACAGGATATAAAATGCCATGTATGCATGGAGAATTGAATGAAGATGGGTTTAGTTTAAAATGTTGCTGGTGAGCTAACACACATTTGTTACACTTGTAACCTTTCTCAACCTGTTGCACAGTGTGTTAAGTATTCACAGTAGCTGGATTTTTTAAAACAGGGCTCAGGGTTCCATAGAATGCGAGCACCTCAAAAACAATGTGACCCTGGACTGTGAAAAGACTGAAGAAAAGCTAATGCATAGGTAGGTTCATGTTAATGAGCTTAACTTACTATGTTACTTACAAAACCAAGACCGAAGACCAAAGATTGAAGACTGAAGGCCAAAAACTGAAGACCTGAACCCGAAGACTTGATTAATTTTAGGCCTGTCAAACTACATGTACTCTCCGCTAAACGCTTTGTCAGATGCCAAAAGGCAAGGAATTGAGGGGGTCTTTGCTTTGGAGAAAAGGCCGCCCTGAACTACAAAATGAAGACCCTCATCTTAACTGTTTGTCAGACGCCAAGAGGCAAGAAATTGTCTTGGAGAAAAGGTTGGCTCAAACTACAGTGTACGAGACACAAAGTTTGTCAAAAAAAAGAAAATTCAGTGTTACTTTATTTCTGATTTTGCTTTTCCGTTATCAATGAAAATATAGAAAAAGGAAAATCACCGCTTCCCAACAGAGATACTGTATTGCAACGACCTCAATTAGATTACCGGTGATTAACAGTAGAAATCAATGAACATTACTTGCAAAAAATTTTGGATGATTTTAATTTCGGACAAAAGAAGTGTCCAAAATTAAAACTGTCCGAAATTCTTAAGCGTCCAAATTTTTGAGCGTGCGAAATGTTTACAGTACAATATGAAACTTTTAAGTAGCTCCAAAACCCTTAGTTTCCTCTATGGGGCAAATTCTAGTTGAGACACTACTGGACATACGTAATGCCTCGATAGAATTTGTGATATTTTCTCGTCTGTGTAGCTGTAAAACCTTGAGAGTGCAGTACTATATGTTATTTTCACAGATGTTGTTTCAGTCTAATTCGTGTTTTGCAGGCATGAATTTACCTTAGCTATGTCTCAGCAAAGTGTCCAAAATTTGTCTGAAATGAGACAAAAAGTGTCCAAAAATTAATCGTATTAAGTACATTATTAGAACTTAAGCTTCGTCAACAGTAGTGTTTAACATAAACGTTTTGTACATGTACATTCCACAATTTGTCACAAAAAAGTAAACACAATTTCTTCATTAAAAGTTGTCAAGACTTACGTTCTTTAGTCTGTTCTACGGAGCTCCAAAAATCATACTTTTAGACCATATTTGTAACTTTAATCTCCTTCCAATAATGTGCTTATATTGTATTCCATAATTCTATGCTGGCATGTTAAATTTGTCATTCTTTCATTTTCTCCACATTAGTTGGTTTCCAGAAGTGGTGAATGTCTTTATTGACAAAAACATGTTGAAGCATCTAAACACTTCACAAGCTGACTCATTCTACAACAGTGTATCCACTCTTGTCTCCAACCAGGTATTTGGTCGGTTGAATTGACTTAAACATGAATGACAGCATAAAAAGTTATTGTATTTTATTATTGCTGCAATATTTATTTTATCTTTGTATAACTATTAGCTGAAGGACCTGATAAACAGAACCATATCAGCATGGGAAAGACTGTTTTTTGAGGAGAACAAAAATTGTCTTCCACTCTTCAAGATGGAGTTGATCTTAGATGATGATGATCACATGCAGTTCTATCCTGCTCTTGATGATGTGGAGGCTGCAGTGTTACATGTTGTATCTGCAGTCTCCGGAACAATGCAGAATGTCCCAACAGTACAGGTACCATTACTGCTGATGATGCTAACAGAATGTTAAACAGTATTGCAGTGTTGCTCCAGATATGATAGGGGTCTCAGGAAAAAAACCTCTAAGGGTTAGCTACCTTATATAACACATTTGGGCAATTCCATTCTAGAGCATCTAAAATGTCAAATTTCAAAGATATTTTTACTAGCCCAATCGTGTGTATTTGGAAAGAGGATATGCTAAAGTGTTCAGGAAATAATTTGCTGAAAGTTTATTCAATGGTAAACAAAAAAGAGAGGCTGTTGATTTTTGACAGAAGAAACCCTGAAAAACTAGCTAGCAATCTCGATTTCAAATTATTATACTGGGCCATGTTTATCTCTTAAATCTCATCAGGATAAAAAAACTTACCTAACTCAGTGTAAAATAATTTTTCAGATAATTTTTTTGCCACATTTGATGTTCTTGTTGAATTGGCGTGAAAAACATTTCCGTTACGGACATTACGTAATGTCCGTAACAAAGAGAGGCTTGCTTTCTTTTTTCTATGCAAGTAAAAGTCAGAGTAAGCTGGAATCCTGTTTTAGTTTGAAGAGGCTCAAACCATGGTGTTGTAAATTGTCAGCATTACTGCAAATCACTGGTGCAAAGGCAGCATGTTAAGCGGCCTTCACACGACAAACTTAAGTTGGCAAACTCGTACCTTCACACATCAAACTTGCGTCAAATCACAACACATGGTAATTTGCAGCATGGCTGACTTAGTGCAGTGACACTCACGTAAAACAATGAAACAGAAGAAGAGAATAGAAGAAGCAGAAAGCGGTGGGGAAATAGAAAGGTTTGAACGAAACCCAGTTTGTCCGCTAGCTCCGCCATTTTCTTTTGTTTGCTTTTATTATCTTTGTAGACTACAGATGAAACGTCCCCAACAGCCGGACAATCGTGAACCTCTTTGATAAATTTAAAAGTGGCCTCATGTTCATCTTGAATTGTGTCTGCCATTTTGTGAAGTGTCACGCAAATAAATCACGTGAGAGCACGTGTTTTGATTGGTTGACAGTTAACAACACATGCTTGCCAATCATTCACACGTCAGAAATGAGTTTACCAACACGAAAAAGTTGGGGAGAATAGGGGCAAGTTCTTTTTGTCGCCAACAGTTTGCCAATGTGTTTGCTGACTGTATTTGTGCCGTTCGCGTGTGAACGATTGGCAAGCATGTGTTGTTAACTGTCAACCAATCAAAACACGTGCTCTATTCACGTGATTTACATTCACTGTTCTACGTGAGTGCCACTGCACTAAGTCAGCCATGCTGCAAATTACCGCATGTTGTGATTTGACGTGAGTTTGACGTGTGAAGGTACGAGTTTGCCAACTCTTTGAAGTTTGCCAACGCGAGTTTGCCAACTTAAGTTTGCCGTGTGAAGGCCGCTTAAGGTTTGCCGTGTGAAGGCCGCTTAATAGACCTGAACCTGATTTAGATAAATTTAACAGTTCTTGCAATCTAATATAATCACCAGGAGTCCACAAATAAACAAAAATATTCACTAAACCCTGTCTTTGAAAAGTATGTTTCACAGTGTAATGTCCGTAATGCATGAGTCAATTCCAGCAGTGCCCATCCCCCCCCGGGCAACCGCGGGGTATTTGCTCACATGGTCAGTCCCGGGGGGTGGGGCATCTGCAATTTTATCGCGGCCCCAGGGCTGGGCATTTGCGTACCATGGGGCGACCCCCGGGCATTTGACACACGAGTTTTCGAAAGTGCCATGAATGAGTTCATCAGGAAAGACGAGGCGTTTGCCGAGTAATGACTTGTCCGTCAGGGACTAGAGAAACTTGTAGATGTTTTCAAGGCGTGTTTTCTCAATTTTAGATATTTCTTCATTACTTGTAAGGAAGCATATAAATATAAGCGACAAGGTGAACTATATGTTGTTTGTCACAAAACAATCACTGATGTGAACATGACTATTTTGCATTTCGCATTCAAAACTAGCCTAGCATCTTTTAAATTCATGAAAGTGGAGTTAAAATACTTAAGGTTTGCNTTAACAGTTCTTACAATCTAATATACATGTATCTGTAATAACCAGGAGTCCACAAATAAACAAAAATATTCACTAAACCCTGTCTTTGAAAAGTATGTTTCACAGTGTAATGTCTGCAACAGCAACTTTTTACCCACAGCTCAAAACCTAACAGCAGAATAAGGGAAACAACTGGATTTTACAAAACTATGAAGCAGCCATGTTCTTCTTCTTATTATTGTTATAGAATTTATGTCTCACATGTTGATTGACAGGAATAGCACTGTCAACTTGAACCTGTAAAATTGGAGGTTGATTTTTTTTTGTTGTTGTCCGTAACGGAGTTTAAAACGAGAATATTGACAGCTTTTGAGAATGAAATCAAAGTTTCTTTTCTGCTGATAGTCAAGTACCATGTGATGAATATTTGTACAGATTTTAAACAAAAACTGCTAAAAAGAAGTATGTAAAAAGGATTTATTTCCAAACAATTTGCCCTCTGAATGTAATGCCCACAACGTGGAATTGCCCATTTGTGGAATTAAATTTCTAATGATTTGTGAGGGCTCGAGAGGGCTATACAAATATACCACTCAACCTATTGACCCTGCAGTTCCCCATTAGCACCAAAATTGTGTGGTAGTCTAGCAAGGTGATATCCATATATCTATAAGGGGAGATTTTGACTAACAATTTACAGAAACATTCACTGCTAAAGATAAAGATTTGGATACATGAGAGAAGAAAACTCTAAAACGTTAAACACTGTTCTAAAAATCAATGTTAGTTCACATAAAGTCAGATGTAGGAATGACAACTGGATATAGTAGGTAGTAAAACATTAATAGATAATTTCTTCACTAAGAAGCAGGTATTTAGATTTCTGCATCATCGTTAGCCATATATTATGCTGGCAGAAGTTTTCAGCACTCTCAAACAGTTACACTTTGACATATCAATACTACTAATTAAGTGAAGCTACAGTATTGGTGTCAGATTCCAAGCGCCCAGTTGTTGGTGAACCCATAATGCTAATTTTTAGATGACATAATAGGTTACCGTATACATAGCAACAGTACATCCTGTTACTACACCCTTAATTTTGATTTTTAGTGCTTATAACTCAAAATCGAGCTCAGTGATCTTCAATTTTCAATTATTGAATTGTGATAAGCATGATAAGATGCAACTTTCTACAAAGTTTTAAAAAATTGTAAGGAGAAAGGTTAGAATACCTATTTTTTTCTTTTAGATTGGTATTGTTATTAAATAGTTATTGAACATGCGTTTGTGATCCTTGATTTTAGTCGTGGTTGGGTGGGGGTAACACAGTGACACATGTGGATGCTGGCGTGGACAAACAAGTTCTATCAAGGTGTACCAAGTTCCTTAAAGATGCTGTCAGCACTAACTTGCAGCAGCCTATTGAGTACCTGCACTCTTTTGGTGAGCCAAACGTACATGACTTAAATCAAAACAATAATATTTAAATGTGGAGTCCTGGATATTCAAATGTATCTACACCTTAGAGTCTAAATTTTCCAAAAACTTTTGTGTTAAACTTGCCACTAAAATTTTGCATATACACTGGCAAATAATGTTGTGGCCATTATGGAGCCTGGTTAGTGGTTTTCTAACACAAGTGTCCTTGTCAGAGTATGAATCTAAATCAGTTACCTCCCCCGTAATCTCTGAATAATTATATAGTTTAATTTGCAGTTTGCAAATTTTACATGCTGAAACACAAAAAACCTTACTGAAACCCATAATGGGACAGACAATCGTATTGTTACCAACTGGTAACAACAACGCTAGTTTAGCCTGTGTGGGACTTCATTCGTAATCAAGTATCTTGAGCAAGTTATGAAGTCTTCATTAGTGCAGACAAAAGGAATTAAACCATAGTGGTTACTTACTAATAAATAAATGTGTTTGAAATTGATACAATTATGAGATTTGTCTCTTACATTTATGTTGTGAGTTCGTTATTTTTGAAATATGCGCATTAATTGCCTTATCAGACAAATATGGTGCCCTTGTTACCGGAGAGGCAGCAGAGCATGTCAAACAGTTCATTTCAAGTGAATGCTCGTTTGAAGATTACACACAGGTAATGATTTGCCTACTCTTAAGAATATTGTCTAATATTTTAGAAAGTGCCCACAAAAAGTGGATTGCAAGATTTTGATGGTTAGATATTCCACGGTGGCAGATTGTTCATGAAAAATCCTCGCAATCTTTTATTATCATATTACATACTATTTCAAATCACGTGACGGAATGATGCTACTCGACAAGGCTGAAAAACTACGAAGATTGAGCTTTTATTCCGACTTCGTTGACCACAATTCCAATTGACAACAGTTAACAAACAGTCGCACGAACATTCAAGCGCAACATCTAGACGAAAATTTGAGTTTAGCCGTCAACCATCTCTGCCTCTTTGCCACGGATATGATAGATGAGACTAAAAAACATAGCCTTTTTCAAAAGTATCCCAGAATTACGAAAAACAAAAAAACAAAACAAAACTTTGCCATTTAAGTAGCAGTCATATAGGAAGATTTTCAACTAAATATCAAGAGAAGAGGTCCTGTGTTTGAGCTGTCTATGGCTGACAGATCAGCCAAGACACCGCAGGCTTTTACAAACTATATTCGCAAAAGGGATATAACTCACTTAATGGACACCAGCTGTAAGGGCTGCATCCTATGCTGCACATGATGCCCTTCAAGTCATTTATTTTTTATTGTATTAATATTAGTATTAGTATAGTTTTTTGGCCGTGTCCCCTAATTAGTATGGTGTATTATTTCCAGGCTATAAGGTGTTTGACACTTTAATAAAGTTCTCACTCACTTTTCACTCACTGTACGAATTATTTAATTATTAATTATATTTATTTTAATCTTTGTGTAATTGTGTTATTGTTTCATTGAAATAATGGTGTTAGTTGTAAATTTCAGTTTTACACTGTGCTTGTTCCAGGAAATTGAAAAATTTCGTTCTCTTGCTCGTGAAATCAATTCACTTCCGACTGTGGCACACTTTGATATGGTTCAGTTAGACTGTGATGATTTGAAGAGAGGCCTGGCTACTAAGGCCAATCGCTTTGCTGATCAGTTGTTACAAAGGCTGGCAGAGGAACACAGGGCAGAAAACAGAAGGTGGCGATTTATTCTTTGAGTTGCTGTTGGTCAAATGTTATCATGTCCAGAAATTAATAACAACTTTTTTATGTGATATATATGTTATTTGCTGGCTGGGAGGTCCGTATAGTGAAAAACTGTGACCGAGGTCTTGAAAATGCTGCCTGAGGCCACATGCCGAGGGCAGCATTTTCAAGCCCAAGGTCACAGTCTTTCACTATACGGACCAACCCTAAGCCGGCAAATAACATGTTTATTTTTTTTCCTGCACTAAATTGGTTTTACAGATTACAAATGGGTTTGTTTACGCAGCTCTTGTCACTGAAGCGGCTTGCGCGCCGTCTACTAACGATTTGTAAAAAATCTCGGCAACGAGCGAGTAACTCAGATAGTAGACAAAGAAAGATTTATTAAAGAACATATTTTTTACTACAAAAACATAAGTTTTACCACGAAAACAATTTCTGTCAGACGTTGCTTTTAATTTCACTTGAAATCAGACTTTTCTACCGTAAATTGAGTGGCAAAAAGTGAGGAAATTCGTGTGTATTCCACAGAAATTCTCCTAAATACAGCAATGATCAGAGAAGTAAACCCGACTGGAATTGACTCAAATTTTACGGCGAGAGAAACACAGGATTACGCGCCATTGCAGCGGCAAGCTACAAGCAACCAAGCAGACTCTCACAACTTCAAAAACCTCAATTGAATTTACTCACAGTGACTTTCCTTGCCATTTTAAAGTGAACAGAGATAAATTTGCGTTGACTGATCGTCGATGGATGTGTAAAGAAGGCAAAAGATTGACGATTACCGCTAACTTTTAGAAGCGAGATTAAGGCAGCGAAGAAAAAATCCGGCCTGTGGGCCGTATCGTAAAAAGCTGGACCGGCCACGTCCGTATGATTGGCCAATCAAATTCGAGGATTTAGGAATCCGGCCCGCTCAGATGCTTGAGAAAAAAAAAAATAAATAAACAAAATCCTGTGCTATGATTGGCTACCCGAGCGGGCAAGATGTATGGGTTGTTGACCAAGTGTGAGGTCAAGATGGCTGGATATTGGCCAAGTTCTTTTTTTGCGTGTTTATGGACCGAGACGGAGTCGAGGTCCATA